CCTGCGGGGAAGGGCGAGGGGCCGCGGGTCGGACCCCTCTCGGTCCCTGCCCCGCCGCGGCTCCCCGAGGGGAGGGAGGACGGGAAGGAAGGAAGGCAGGAGAGAGGGAGGGCGCGGGGGGAGGCTCGGCGGCCGCCGCTTACCTTATCGCCGAGGGGGGCGGCGGCGCGGAGGAGGAGGAGGAGGAGGAGGCGGCGGGGAGCGGCGGCCATGCCGCGCTGCTGCTGCCGCTGCCGCGGAGGAGGAGGCGGCTCGGCGGCCCACCAGCGGCGGCTGCGGGCGCGGCGGGGCCCGCGGAGCTCGGCCCGGCATGGCTGGGGGAGTTAATGACTTTACAACCTGCCGGGCGGCGGGCGGCGACCCGCGGCGCGGCCGCTCGGCGGGGGAGGGATGGAGGGATGGGGCAGGGATGGGATGGGATGGGGATGGGATGGGGGCCGGGCGCTCCTCGGGCCCCGCCGCGCCCCGCCTGCCCCTCGCACCGCCCTGCTGCCGCCGCTCCCGGGGCTCGGAGCTCTCTCGGCGCTGCCTGCGGCTCTTTCCGAGCCCCCGCGGCGGCCCCGGCACCGAGCGGTCCCTGCGGAGCCACCGCGCTGCCCCTCGCCCTCGAGCGGAGCGCTCCGTTCGTCTCCTCCCGCACAAAAGTGTTTTGCTGCCCGATTCCTCCTTCCTGCCCTCTGTAGGCAAGCTCTGCTTGCCAGGGCATCCCTCTGCCCGCGCTGGGACAGAGCACAGCATCCCCCGGGACACCGGGAGCTGCTCTTGCTGGGGTGGTGGTTGATTCACAGGATCCTAGGATGGTTTGGGTTGGAAGGGACCTTAGAGACTGCCTTGTTACACTCCCTGCCACGGGCAGGGACACTTTCCAATATCCCAGGCTGCTCCAAGTCCTGTCCAACCTGGCCTTGGCACTTCCAGGGATGGGGAAGCCACAGCTTCCCTGGGCAATCTGTGCCAGGGCCTCCTCACAGGGAAGAATTTATTCCCAATATCCCATCTAACCCTGCCCTCTGACATTCCCCCTTGTCCTGTCACTCCATGTCCTTAACAAAACCTCCCTCTCCAGCTCTCTTGGAGCCCCTTTAGGCACTGGAAGAGGCTCTCCGATCTCTCCTCTCTGGGTTGCTGTTTTCTGGTGGCCAGAAGGCAGCTTTTGGCAGGACGGTGCCCGTGGCCGTGCTGGCACACCTCCCGGGAGCTGCCTGCTGGGATCCGTGGCCACAGGCTGTGCAGAAATGGCATCAGGTGTCCCCGGCTGCTGCCTGCCAGATGTGCTGTAATTAGTGCGGGGAGGAGATCGAGTCCTCAGCGCTCCCTCACCGAGGGTTTCAGCCTCAAGGTGGAGGGAGGGGAGAGGAAAGACAGGGATGTCAGCAGGGAGACTCCTGATCAAAGCTGTTTCCCGGCAGGGAGGGGCAAGGGGAGGAGGGGCCGATCTGCTGCTGACCCAGCCGGAGAAAATGAGGGTGAGCAGCACTGACAAAGAACACGGTTGAGTCTACAAAAGGAGGGGAGAAAAGCTTCGGCTCCTGGCGGTCCTGCCCTGCTGCAGCCCCGTGTAATGTTCCTCCGAGCCAGCTCCGGTCTACAAAAGGAGGGAGGGGAGAAAAGCTTCCATCGGCTCCTGGCGGTCCTGCCCTGCTGCAGCCCCGTGTAATGTTCCTCCGAGCCAGCTCCTGCCCCGAAGATAAGAAAAATAGTGGAGGGGCACGGAGGTAGGGGAGAGGCTGTGCCTAAGCAGAAAAAGGGGCTGGCTGGCTCCAGCTGAGCGAGTTTCAGCAGTTTTAGCTCAGTTTCAGCGTCTGATCTCCTGCAGGCGCTCTCCAAAGCAGTGTTCGAGAGGAGCCCTGGCAGGCAGGGCGAGGCTGGGCAGCACGGATCGTTTGGAGAGGGGATCTGCCTGTGAGGCTCTGCGGGAGCGAGACGGGGCAAATCCAGGTGGCCTCCGCTGCTCTCCCCTCCAGGGCCCCTCCGTGCCCCTCTCTCCTGACCCTTCTTGCTAGTCCTGCTTTCATCCCCTTTCATCACTCCTGAGCCTCCTGTGCTCGCAGGGTGATACGAGTGCAGTGTGGAAGGCAGAAGGACGGGGTTTAAAATGCTGCTCTTGGCATTTCACATCCTGAGTTCAGGCAGTGTGGTTCTTTCCTCGAGGTGTAGAGGAGGGTTTGAATACTCTCAAGGAACAAGGATATGGGAGATAAAGTAGTCTTGAGACACCCCCAACATTAACCTGTGTCTGGGAAGGTTTGGTAACTCAACTGATTAAATGAAGCCACCACAAGTTACTCCCAGCCTCTTAATAATTTCCAATCCAATTGGAAATCTCAATTATTTTTTTTTCCTACTGTCTTTATTGAGACTATAAAGTAAAGCTGCCACTTTCCAATAGGGCCAGCTGGTTCTGCTGTGGGATAAGTTATGTGTGAGCAGACTGAGCCCAGCATGTGCAGCAGCCCTTGGTGGCCTTGCATTCAGCTCTGCCATCACAAGTGGCTTTCCCCTTGTTGCTTTCCAGTTTCATGTGTCCTGTTAACAGAAAGCAGGTCTGTACTGCCACGGGGCAGTGTTTAAATGATTAATGAGTTTGAGGATCTCCCCTGTGGTAGCACCCATATTTTCATCCCAGCTGTCTCTCCATAGCCAATGTTTTCCATTATGGATGCCAGTCCTGTTTGGGACTCATTCACACTCATCCTCTGCCCTCTGGAAGTTGCCTGGGATTATTTCAACCTCTTCTTTCGTTGAATTTGGTTCCATCAGCCAACAGTTTCCCAAAAAATCTCCCAAACACAATCAGGAGGGGAACCACAGGCCTCTGGAATTGAGAAGCAGTGTTTGTGGCTGCTGTTGCATCAGGTCCTGATGCATTCTGCTCCCAACTCACCTGTCACAGGTAGCAGCTGCCTTCTCATGGGGAAAGTCTTGGGATCATAATTATAGAGGCTGAGAGTTAAGAAAGATGTATGTGACACTGGCCTGGTGTGGAGAGGTCTTTAGGCACCTCTTTATTTCCCTGTGTGTGTTCCTGCTGCTGCCCAGCCTGCTGGAGGGAGCCTGGTGCTTGCCCCAGAGCAGGAACAATTGGACTTTTCTCTCCCTGTGAGGAGGAACCTGTGTGGTCCAGGCACTCTGCAGACACCAACTTTGCCCAGGACTGTGGCTGATCCTTTTTCCTACTGCTCTGAGCAGCCCTAAGGATTCAGCTCTGTTAACACCGAGGTCAGGGGCTTCCTTCAGCTCAAGCTGTCATTGTCTGGCCAGGTCTGCTCCCCTGTGGACATTGCCATGTCCTGGTTTTTGTTTCCCAGAGGGGTCTGAGTGATCCCTGGGCTGCTGGGGCAGGGATGGAGCAGACCTCAAAGGACTCTGAGCTGTGTGCAGGCTGTTTCCATCCCTTGTGTTGTGCTGTCCTGATACCTCTGCATCAGCTCTGAGAGGATCCTCAGCTCTTGAGTGCCCTCAGGAGGGACCCGCAGAGCCTCTCCTCAGCCTCAGCAGAACTGCACAGTCCAGATACAGCAGGGAGAGGCCAGGGGGATGCCTGCCATGGCTTTGCCCCCTCCCTCTGTGGGGAACACACTTTTAAGCTGCATTCTTTGAGCCTTTTCATGGATCCACGTCCCACAGGCTGAGGCCAAGCCCCTTTGTGTGATTCATTGTACAGCTGCTTCCCCTGCAGAGTCTGAGGTGGGAAATAAAAACAGCTTCCAGCTCCCAATATCTGCAAATCTCAATTACAATGGATGTTTTGTAGGCCAGAAAGTGGCCCCCGAGGGAGCAGCCCTGTGCATGGAGCTGCAGGAGGCTTAAGCTGCAGATGAGCTCACAGGAGAGATGTGGCTGAACTGGGTTCACTCCTCCTCCTCCTCCTCCTCTTTGTGCCCTGCCTTCTGCCAGCTCCAGCCCGTGCTGCTGCAAAAAGGTGAGAAGGGAAGTGTCAGGAATGTACCTGTCACAGGGGCAGGCAGCACAGGGCGATGTGCCACACCTGGGCAGCACTGGCTGGGCCACGTGGCTTTAAACGCTGAGGGTGACAAAGCTGCACCTGCTCCAGGACAGCAGCACATTCACAGGGATAATCAGTGCTGATTTTGTGCTGCAGCAGTCCAGGCTGGCCTTCCAGGACTGGTTTTGCCCCTCAGTTGTGCTCCTGTGTAATTTTCAAGGTGATTTTTAGGATTGTTGAGCACCTCGTGGCAACACATCCTTTCCTGAAGAGATTGGGACTCAAAAAAACCCACCAGTGCACCTTTCTGCCTCTGAGCTTGTTCTTAAAAAACTTTTAAAAGATTTTAAAATACTTCAGTCTTAAAAAAGCAGCCTGGTTTTTGCATCAAAAAACTACATTGCTGTACCTGGGGACACTGGGTTCTCATGTGAATCTTTGGTGTAAGACCAAATCCTCTGGCATCAAACAGGAGATGGGTGATGTTTACTTCTGGCAATCAATCACATGGACATCCATGTGAAGGCAGGTGCCATTGTTATGGCTATTGTTGTCAGGGGACTGAAGAAAATCCAAACTAACAGGGTAAATCCTTTCTTTTCCAGACCTCTCTGTTTAGGCTACAGCTGGGCAAAATAATTCATCACAAAACTAAAAGTTTGAGTGTGCTGAGGTGGTGGAATATCAAGTGGAACCAATCTGTTGAAATGAGAAATATTTGCTTTTTGTATTTCTGAAACATTTCAGTTGTCAGTGGATTTCAGCTTCATTTATTATCATTAAGTATTATGCAAACCCCAGTGTACTTCAGCCTGGGTTGAATCTTTGGGGGGTTGTTTTTAATTTTTCCTCAGTTGAAAAAGCTGCAAATATTTGCCCCAAACAACTGAGAAAAATATTGTTTAGTTTTTCCAGGAAAAGCAAATATTCACTTTGTTTGCACAGCTACAGCCCTAACCTAAATAAACTCTGCCTAATATGATGATCTCTTCACCTTAATGAAAATAGCTGAGAAAAAAGAATGGAATACAGTCAGACTCCACTCTCACTTTGCTGGCTTCTTTCATAATCTCACCATTTATTTTTAAATAGAAATCCTGTTCCAGAAGCAAGCAGATATTTGCCTTTAGAAGGCCATAAAAATATCTCAGTATTGGAAGAACTCAGGTGGGTGACACTTTCAGCAACAGGGAGTTGCCTTTGCATACCTGGGCTATGCATTGCAAACACAGTATGCAAAATGGAGAGAGAGAATATTAAAATACACATTTCCAACAAACACTGGCATAGCATGATTAATGCTCTGCTGGTTCTTACATCAACACCCTGCAGAGCAGGATACAGTGTTTTCTCTCACCAAAGTAGTGTACAGCAATAGAAAAGAGGGAGAGGAGGAAGCAATCTGTGTCTTCTATCAAACCCTGCCCTGGGCTCCAGCGGGCAGTTCTCACATTTAGCCCAGTGTTTATCACGGTTAAAACCCCTGTGGTCTTGTCTTCATGTCCCCAGCCAACCAAAAAGTCTGTTCTTTGGCCAGAACATGAAAAAATAACCCTTCCTCTTCCTTCATTTTGTCCCCTCCTCCAAGTTAAGGGCCACTAATCTCTGGGATAGGTCAAGGCACACGACAGGGGGAAAGAAGAGACAGGGCTGTGGTTTTTAGGGTGCAGGGCTGCACCTCCTCAAGCCCTTGGTGGGGCAGATCAGCAAGGCACTGTTGGCAGGAGACCCATCCAACACCAGGGTCCAGCTGCTGTAAGGAGCACCCTGATGTGCATCTGCTAAAAACCACCATGGGGCTGTGGACTTGTTCTTGTTTGGTCACAGAGCCTGGCTCTGCAAGGCCATGATCTGCTACAGCTGCTCCTGCACAGGCACATGGGGCTGGTCCCTGGGGCTGCCCTTGGGTTATAACAAATGCTGTAACCTGCACCTGCCCCTCCAGGTGCTCCTGAGTTGGCTGCTCTGCCCCACAGCACCTGCAAAAACACAGTGTGCAGGGAAACCACAGTGTTTCCAGGACTTGGAGTTCTCTTCCTAGGATGCAGAAGAGAAGGCACAGAAAGAAGCTAACCTGCTTTGTCAAGGAATTTTAGTGTTAATGGCAGAGATTTGGTCTTTACCAGCTAACCCAGCTCTGCTCCTACTTGCTTTGGCAGATGCCAGAGCTCCATCTGCCTGGCAGGGAGGCAAATGTACCCTTGGAGGGGCAAGGACCTGGTGTGCTACCCTACATGGTTTGAAATCCCAATGTTAACATCTACATTCCTCAATAGAAGTCACCTGGGGAGAGGCTGGCACAGGCTGCCAGCCCTGCACACAGACCAGAGATCCAGGTGAAGAACAATCTGTTGTGTGGGACCAAAGCATCAGCCCGAGGAGATTGTCACAGCCTTTCTGTGGCAAAGGGATAGAGTGGACTTGTTTCAGAGAGAGGAAGCATTAAATTACATTGTATTATTCATTTTTTCACCTGTGTAATCCCTTGAGGCTTCACACTATCACAGTGGCAGCAACTGTTTCATTGCTCTCTGGTTCTGGAGCTTGTTCTCTGGCACTTGGGGTCCCCTCGTGGGATCCCTGCCATTAGGGTAGTGTTCAAGTGCTGACAACCAGGATTTTCTGGTAATTGATGTTTAGGGGATCTCTGAATTGCAGGTTTGTCTGAGGATCTGGGCTTTGCCTGGTGTCAATCGGGCTGTGCAGGTGGGACACTACTGGGGCTGACTGGTCACATCCTTAACTGGCAAACTGCTTTTCTTTTTGAAGCATGCCTTCAAAATTTTGGGCCTTGAGGAATTTGATCGTTCTGTGTTCCAGCAGCTCCCTGGATAAAATATATTGTGAGACTGATGTACACAACTGTAGCAAGCTGAGGGGCAGGGAGAGATGAAAGAGCTGCTGAATCACAGCATCTTTCTGCTGTACTAGTTGTGAACACTATCTAGTTCTTGATAGAAAGGCTACCTGCCAGGTCCTGTTTTCCCTCCTGCCTCCCCACACGCTGATGTTCTCCTGTGGAACTCTAAAGTACCCCTTGTTCCCATCTGCCAGAAGGAAGTGTGTGTATCACCTCCAGGACTCAGCTGCCCAAATGTCCTGGATCAACTTCTACCTGTCAAACTCTTCCCAGGAACCTACAAGAAACAAATTGAAGAGAAGTAACACCAGTTGTGCCTCTGCCTGTACCAGAGCCAGCCAGGACCATCTTTCCAACCCTCCTCGGGGCTCTGGCCACTTGTGTCCCTAGGCTTTGGCATAGCAGCCCCCGTCCTCGATGGTCTGTACCGGGTGTATGGGTAGGACCAGGTGGGAGATGCGGCTCCACAGCCCGCTCAGCTTGTCGGAGTCCATGTGGTCGTAGGAGCTGGGGCTCCTGGTGCTGGTGAACTTGGCCCAGAGGAAGTCACGGACCCTCTCCTCCACCTGCTGGAGGCTGATGTGGCTTTCCAGCACATCCTCTTCCAGCAGCACCGTCAGCAGCAGGGCCACGTCCTTGAAGGCGGCGCTCTCGTGGTCGCAGTACTTGTAGAAGATGAGGGTGGCCCCCGCGGGCAGCAGCTCGAAGCGGTGAACCACCGCGGCCCGGCCCCCGGCCTGGAACGCCGCGCTCAGCTCCGAGTCCACCTCCAGCTTGGCGCGGTCGCTGTGGAGCCTGGCTTTGTCCCTGCCCTCGATCTGCACCGTGCTGCCGTGCAGGGCGGCCGAGTAGCAGTCGGCCAGGCGGGCGCTGAGGCAGCGCAGGGTCCGCTCGCCGCGGCGGGCGGCCGTGAGGATGACGATGGCCGGCTGCGTGGGCTGGGACGCGTTCAGGTGCTTCCGCAGGAACTTGCGCCCGCGAAGCCACAGGTCGGGGCTCTGGCCCGGGAAGCTGTGCTGCAGCTGGTCGAACTGGGACAGGAACGCCTCCACAGCGGGGTTCTTGCGGGGCTGCTGGGAGCTGGAGGTCGGGCTGCCGAAGCAGAATATGCACAAGCACAGCACTGTGAGGCCCACGATGAAAAGCCCTGTGCAGCAGGGAGAGACACGACACGGGGAACAGGAGTCAGCCCCAAGTGACCCGCAGTGACAAGCTGGAAAGTAGCTACAATGGCTATTTCTGCCCTCTCAGAGCTTCCCCCTGCACTAGGAAAGTGGAGCAAGCTGGCCAGGAAAGGTGAAGGGGCTGCTGGCTCTGTGTTGTGAGATTCCCACTCCAGTGTGCCAGGTGAGAGGGCTGCAGCTCCAGGGACGAGATTTGCAAGGATTGTGAAAACCTTCCTGAGGAAATTGCAGCTGCCCACAAGCTTTCTTCTCTTTCCCCCTCCTCTGTTTTCTTCGGGGTTTGTGGCTGTTCAGGGCACCACATATGGAGGTGTCTGACCCAGGTAAAGTGCTGCTTTCACTGCCCTCCTCCATGCTACGAGAGAACAAAGGCCACCGTGCTTCTGCTCAGAAAACAGAAGGCAGCAAGGTCCAGACACAATGCCTTGTGTCCCTCTCCATGGCAAAGCACAGTCTCCTTCTAACAGGAGAAATGTGTTGATGCAGATCAGCATCACTGTCCCTGCTTAGAGCCCCAGACAGAGCAGGGCTGGGGAGGGGGACGCTCAGCACAGCAGCCCCCAGACCTCCCAGGACACCCCAGGGCACTCACAGCATGATGACCACAATATGCCAGCTTTTGAGGCTGAAGAGCTGGAGGGGAAGCTGCCACTATAGGCTTGAACTGAGCCTGTATTGAAGGGGACGTTTTTTCTCTCAAACCCTCAGAAGAGGCTGTGAAAGGTCTCGAGAGAGAAGAGTAATTAAATGTGCTTTATTACTTGCTCCTGGAGGATCAGTGCCTTCTGGTCGATGAGTAACATGCAAGGGAAGCTTCTTTTCCTCACCTTTCCACAGGAGGGACTTTTTGGCCTTCTCCTGCTCTGTGTTTTGGGTGGTGATGTTCTGCAGGGAAGACAGAGTCTCTGGGCTTGGGGCTGTGTCCCCTGCAACAGGAGAAAAGAAATGTGCCACTCACTGCTGAGGGAACAGGCAAATGGAGCTGTAGTAAGCAAAGCAGGAGCTCCCAGCTGAGGAAATACTGCTTTGGGTTAATATACCCTGAGTCTTGGCTCTCTCCTCTTGGGCTGGGCAAGGACAAAGACAGTGCAGAGTGCAGTGTGGCTTCATGCCTTTCAAAGCACAACAGGAGCAAAGGCAAGAGAAAGAGAAGCCAAATAATTTCTTATACCTTCTTGGCTGTTTGACTTCAGGGAAGTGACAACAGCTATGAGAGATCTCACCCAACTATTGTTCTAGTGCCTATGGGAAATGTAGGAAGCAGAAGAGCAGCAGTGTGCAGCCACCAGCTCACCTTTTGGTCTTTTCCTTAATGTGCCTTGGGACTTGCTCTCCTGTGTTTCTTGCTCTCTGGGTGCCTCTGGCTTCCAGTCTGGAAGAGTGGCACTGCTCCTCTCTGCCAAGCTGCCTCTAGGGACATCTTCCACACCAGTCACATCCAAATGGGTCATTTCACTGTCAGAGCTCCGTGCCTTGCTTGTTGGTGAGGCATCTTCCTCTGCTTTGCAGAGATTTTCACACTGCCCAGTTGTCTCCTGGTGCTCCCGTGTTTCCTGGTGGACAGGGCTGTCTCCTTTGCTTTCCACATTCTCATGGCCCAGCCCAGCTGTGGGGAATAAAATTCACAGACCTACACTTCGTCTCTTTTAGCCCAAGAACCAACAACCCTTTCTCCTGCTCTGCCTGCTCTAAGCCAAGGTCCAAGTTATCAGGCCCAAGGGTGGGGAGAGACTGACCTTCATCCAAGTCCTGTTCTTCCAGGGGTCTTTCTGGGACACCTTCTCTTGTCTTGTCAGATTCTTCTGGCAATACTTCAATTTCCTGGGCAGATTTCTCTTCTAGTGTGGGACCAGCTGAACCCAGGAGTGTTGTCTCTCCCCCATCAGCAGCTGATTCACACACTGAAGAGCCTTCCTCTGCTTTGCAGGATGTCTCAGGCCACCTGCCTGTCACTTGGTGCCCAGGTGTTTCCTGGGTGGCCTCTAGGTGCACAGGACACTCTGCTGTGCTCCCCACCTCACCCTGGGCTGGTCCAGCTGTTGGGATCAGAGTTCACAAGCCCAGTGAGCCACACAGGAGTCAAGAATGCCCAGTGCTTTACCACCACCCGCACAACTCCCAGTTCTGGCACTGCAGAAACATTTACCCCCAGTGAGATGGGAGAGAACAGAGTGACCAGAAGTGAGAACACTCTTGGGTTGAGATTCAGACAGCTGAGTGAAGGGAAGGAGGCAATCAGGATGCAAAGGCAATCACTCACCACCTCCTGCAAGCAGACTGATGCCAGGCCAGTCTCCCAGCAATGGCCACCTTGGAAGCCATCCCCTTTCTCCCTTTCTTCCTTTGGCCCAGTTTTTGTTGCTGAGCATGATGTTATATTGTGTTCAACAACCCTTTTCCCACCTTGGGTCCCTGCCCAATCTTCTGCCCACCCCAGGGTATTTGCTGGGCAGGGGCAGAAAGCCTTGATGATGTTCAGCAACAGCCAAAACACTGCTCTGTTTTCAACATTTTTTTCTCTGAGCCCACAGATCCAAACTACAGACCTCACAGCTGCCATGCTAAAGCTAATTCAATTCCAGCTTATGTCCTAGGTGGGAATGGCACACAATTCCTTCCTTCAGTGGTAAAATAAGTTACCACATCTTCCACAGATAGTGGATTTTCACAGATAGTGATGGATTTGAATAATTCCTAAGGCTGTTGTTGAGTACAGTTATGCCAATGCACTTCAAGCATCTGTCTGAATGTAAATAATAATTCTGCTCATGCTCTGTCTCTGTGCTGGAGCTGCTCTCCCAAAGAGCTATGGCAACATTTAATTAGAAACAAACACTGGAGCATAATTCAATAGAGAGATTCTGCAACTGAACAGCGTTTGTGACATATTCTGACTCTCACAAAACCAAAGTGCAGCTCAAATTTCAGGTACTATTTGTGAAAAAATGCTTATGAATGATCAAGCACTACATCAATTATTATGCTATAATTGGAATAAACACTGATTAAAAGGGTGAGGAACTCCCTTCTAATTTGAAAACAAAGAAAAAGCTGCACTTGTCACTTGTCAGAACATGATTTTTACATTCTTTGTTGCTGATTATTCCAGTGACACTTCTGACTATCTGGGACAGACCTGAGCTGGTGATGGCATCACTTTATCACTGACACATTTGTAGGTACTAGTCATAACCAGGCTCCCACAGCATGTAAGTACACGGTAGAAACTGAAACACGAGGAACTTTGAGATATCCTGCTGTTCAAGCTGGGCACAAACTACCCCTGCCCTGTCTCTTTCAGAGTTTTTCCAACCACAGGTGGTGGAAAACTGGCTTTTCTTTAAGCATCTGCAGAAGGGAAGCACCAGGATACGGGGAAGAAAGTTCTTCCAGTCTGGATCTCTCTCTTCAGCATTCCTTCTACTGCCATCTTGGGACACAGTCTAAACCTGTTGCAGGTCAGAATCTGAAACTGAAAGTAACTTGTTCATCTTTCACCTTTTAAAAAATTATGGCAACTTGCTTTCCTTGGCCTGGAAAAGATGGGATTCTTTTACTGATTTATTTTTCTTCTGCACAGGTTTGTCATGTCACTGCTGAAAACTGGCAGCAAAGGGATCTTCCCAGCAGATGGAGTAAACTAAGGATTCACTTACCTCCAAAGTTTATTTTTCTTCTGCACAGATTTGTCATGCTGAAAACTGGCAGCAAAGGGTTCTTCCCAGCAGATGGAGTAAACTAAGGATTCACTTACCTCCAAGCAGATCCATGCTTGGATTCTCTTCCATTTTCCTTTTCCCCGGGAGCTCTGGCACTGTTTGGTTTCACTTTCTCCGACGTTCATAGGGAGCTGTATCTCCCTGCTGTTCCAGAGGCTGACCGAGTCCTGCCCTCCTCACAGCCACCATCCCGTCCCGGTCCGCCCAATTCCAGCCACACGCCCACAAACCTGATAAGCAGAAACACGGGAGCCGTGAATCACGGTGGAGGAAGCTCCTCCTTCGTGATTCCCAAGGTGAAAATGGGCGGATGTCGCCCCTAACCATGAACCTTCAGCCCATGGGCTGTCAGCTAGCTTGCTTCCCGTCAGTGCAGGGGTTAAGGCAGACCGCATTTATCCTGGGACATGCCAGGGGGGTGAGGCACTGCTGTCTCACCCCCACGGACGCCAGGCCTGGAGTCTGGGTCTCGGCAGGCTGCCCCGAGAGCCTCTGGGCACCTGGCAGCTGGCAGCCAGGCCGACACGAGCAGTGACCCTGCTGCTGTCGCTCCCGGCCTGCCCCCAGCGTGCGGGGCCGGGAGGCGATCCGGCAGAACCCCGCCGCAGCAGTGCCGGGCCCGGAGCGCAGCCTGAGTCTGCACGCCTCCAGCCGTGACTCCCCCGGGAAAGCACTTCGGGACAGGGCACTGACGGAGCCGCGCTCACTGAGGCGGATGGAAAACTCCCAAGAAACTTTCCCCGCTGGAGAGCGGTCCGTGCGGTTTTCTGTGCAGAAACCTCCAGCCCAGGCTCCGAAAGCAGCAGCTTTCCGGCACAGGGGGCACCTCGCCCCCCGCAGTGTCGCCGGCACACGGTTCGGGGCTGTGGGGGGCAGCGGCTGCCCTGCCGCCCGGCGCTCGTCCCTCCCCTCCCTGCTCCCGGCGCTGACGCTCCGGCAGGAGAAGGAAGTCAGCAGAACAAAGTGGAGCCGGACGCTTACCCGGGCAGGTTCGGAGCCGGTCAGGGCGGCGATCAGGAGCAAAGAGGTGGCAAGAGGAGGCCAGCGCTGGCCTTTCCCCTTGCCCTCCGTCCCAGAGGCCCTTTGGTGGCAGGACACCAGCGCACACCCTGAATCCTCCGCTGGAAACGTGACGGCGAACTCTGCCCTTCCCTGGCTCCCGGCTGCCTGCTGGGAGCTGTAGTTTTCCTTCCCGCAGTCATTCTCGGGAGCCTTCAGGGAACATTAACTTCCTTTTTTTTGGCTGTGTTTCCGCGACTCTGTGGCTGTGCGCTTTTTTTCAGGCGCGCTTCATGACTGGCGGGTTCCTGCATTCCGTAACAGTGTTGCTGATTTCAAGCAAGGAAACGATAGTGAAAGGAGGGAACTGGTTTGCAAGTTGATTTAGGAAAAGTACTACAAGAAAAGTAACCCAAACACATAGGCAGCAAAGCCCAGACTCTGGAAATGTCACGTTGCCAGTGCAGGGAGGCTGGGAAGGACGGGGAATGGAGAGACTTCAGCATCAGCCGGGGGGGAGGGATGTGGAGCCCACCCAGCGTCCCCTGAAGTGATCCAGAGACTGCAAAGCAGGGAAGGGTCTGACAGTGTGTGTGTCAGCCCTTGGCTTCATTTAGGCAATGCTTTTCCAAAAAAAATAATCTGTTCTAACTGGTGGTGCCTGCACAGTGGCATGTATAGGCATGGGATGTTCCAACCCCTTCCTCTTTCCCCCTGCCCAGGACACGTTTCACGGAAAGCAGCAGCATGGAGCACTCCAGAGGAAAGGCAGCAGCACAGGGAGCAGCAGAACAGAGACAGCAGTGCCCCTGGAACTCAGCTTGCTGTCTTTTCACCAGCATCCCCAGAGGAGCCCAGCAGGAAATGGCTGAGACAAAACACAGGGAAATGCGAGTGAGGCAGTGCTGGAAAGGAGCAGGCACTGAGTGGCTGGGACTCCTCAGTCTGGAGAGCAGAGGGCTGAAAGGGGGATGGGATTAATGTGTTTGGTTGGTTTCAATTTGACTAAATCCTCCCCCCCCCCCCCCCCCGGAGGCACTTGTAAAACAGGCAAGAGGTTGGGCTCCTGCCAGCAAGCGCTGGCCTCCTCTTGCCACCTCTTTGCTTCCTTCAAATGGGAAGGAAAAAATACTTTATGCTGTATGGAGGAACACTTGCTGGCCCAGGGAGCACAGAGGCAGTGTCAGAGGGGTCAATAAAATGTGAGTGCCACGTTACCCGGGGTGTCAGCACGTGCACAGGCATCAGTACTGACCTGCTCATGTCAGGAAGGGGGTGAGAAGGTGAGGTGTGCTGGCCACTGCACCTCATTCCTGACAGGAGGGGACAGTGGCCATGGCAGACTCAGCACATTCCCTTGTCATGACCAGCCTCTCACCAGGGGCAGCAGAGGCTGTAAAACCAGGAGAATGGAAAAGCAGGAAGGAAAAACTCAGCATGGCTGACTCACAGGGGCCAAGGTCACCTTGAGGGCGCTGCTCCTGGCTGCCCTCAGTCTCACACCACGACTTGATCTCCCTCAGCAAGGAACAGCTCAGAGGAGCTGCAGGTGGCAAGGGCTTCATGAAAATCCAGGCATTATCTATCCCTCTGTCCCTAAAACCATCCAGTCCCTTCAACACAGTGTTTGGGGCTGAAGGGCCACGTTTTCCACGGAAGCACAAGTGTCACAAAACTGGTGGCAAGTGTGTGACAAAATCAGGGGGTCATTTCAGCCCCTCCAGGTAGAGAACCTAGTTCCCAAAAAGGCGTTTGGCAGGAAAATTAACTGGCTGGCCTAGGGCATGAAGTCATCACAAAACAGTTTAAAAAAAGGATCTTGCCATTGTTATGTTGATTTTCTTTTCCTGATGTAGTATTTGTTACATCCTCTTTTATTTTTGCTTTAGAAAACAATGCTCAATGTGTGTGTTGTGCTTTTAGGACTGAAAAGAACAACAATATTTAGTGCTGGTACAGTAGGAGGTGTATATAACTTACCTCACAAATATTTACTTGCTTTTGGGAGAAACTGCAACATTTATGGTGTGTTAGTAAAGAATTTAAGGTGTTTTTTGTTTTGAAATCTTTGTACAGAGAAGACAGGCGCAGGAGTGGAGGCTGAATGGCACTTGCCTCATCCAGCCTTCCTGCTGGATTGCACAATGTGCCAGACTCTCGTCAGTGACAGGACAAGGAGCAGTGGCCAAACTAAAACACAAGAAGTTCCACCTCAACATGAGGAAGAATTTCTTTACATTGAGGGTGGCAGAGCACTGGAAAGCTGCCCAAGGAGGGCATGGAATCTCCCTCTCTGGAGACATTCCAAATCCACCTGGACGTGTTCCTGTCACCTGCTCCAGGTGACTCTGCCTTGGCTGGGGCGGTTGGACTGGAAGATCTCCAGAGGTGCCTTCTAAATGGAACAATTCTGTGATTCTGTGAATTTGTAAAAGGGTCTCTCTATTTGTTAGCAACTCATTTCCAAGCAGGTCTTGAGCTGCTGGGAAGGGAGTCTAAAGGAGATCTTGTAGTCCTGTCAAATTGCATCTTGAAAACCTCCAGCCGTAGGAACTCTACCACATGCGTGAGTAAAAAAGCTTTATCAAGAATGCAATCAAACGCATTTAAAATTCCGTTTGCCAGTAATGTATCTGAGCAAACAGGTAAGAAAAGTGAAATGCCTAGTGAGACATTCCAGATCTGACTAACCAAAACGATTCCCACACTAAGGAACAGAGCAGTGCAATGTTATCGGCGCCAGAGGATCTCACATCCCCCGAAGCACCTCTCTCTGCTACTCAGCCGCTATTTGTGCTTATTTTACAGACTTTTCTGCCTCCGATAAAGGCACAGCTGCCCTTGTCGCGCTGCGATCGGTTCGCACGCAGCAAGCAGCGCGGCGGGGAGCGGAGCGGGGCGCGGGCAGCGGGCAGCCCTCAGCCCTCAGCGGCGAGGCCCGCCCCGCATTTTCTTCACTGGGGGGTTTTACAGACTTTTCTGCCTCCGATAAAGGCACAGCTGCCCTTGTCGCGCTGCGATCGGTTCGCACGCAGCAAGCAGCGCGGCGGGGAGCGGAGCGGGGCGCGGGCAGCGGGCAGCCCTCAGCCCTCAGCGGCCGCGCCCGCCCCGCATTTTCTTCACTGGGGGGCAGCAGCCGCGGGGCCGCCGGACGGGCGCTCCAGGGGCCGCTCCCGCCGGGCCCGGGCCCGATCCAGCTCCGGCCGCCGCCGCGGGCCCCGCGGCCGCTCCGGCGGTACCGGGGCCATGGCGGACCGGCCCCGGTACCACGTGACGCCGCGGCGGCCGCTCCGCGCTCGGGCGGAAGCGGAGGGCGCGGGTCCCGCCCCGCGGGAAGTGAGGCCCGCGGAGCCGCCCCCGCCGCCGCGGGAAGGCGGCAGCTGCAGGCCCGAGCAGGCGGCGGCGGGCGGACGGGGAAGAGGACGGGGCAGAGGACGGGGTCGGGGCAGGCGGCGCGGAGCAGCGGCGGGCGGCATGGTGGGCAGCGGCGACGACGAGGCGGCCCCGCCGGACGGCCCCGAGCTGGCTCCGCCGGACGGCCCCGGGCTGAAGCGGCGGCGGAAGAGCCCCCGGCTCGCGGCGGCGCCGCCGGAGGAGGCCGGGGACGAGGTGGACAGCGCGGCCCTGCAGGGTGAGCGGCGCGGGCGGGCGCAGCGGCCCGCGGTGGATCATGTGGTTGCGGGCGCGGTGGGGCGGCGCGAAGTGAGGCGGGCGGGCGCCGTGTGCTTCCCCTCCGGGCGTGTTGGGACGGGACCGCGGGCTCCCGGTGAGCCTGCTGCTCCTGGAATGCTCTCAGGCCGGGGCCCCGTGGGCTTGAGCTGAATTGCCGGCTGTGCCCCTCACCCGTTTCTCGTTTCAGGAGACGAGCATCACTTCGGCACCCCAGACTCCCTGACGCGACCCCCTATAAAGGCGTACCGATCGCCAGGTAGGCTCCAGCTCCCAGAGCTCCCAGAGCGGCTGGAGTGCCCCACGCTCAGGGAAATGTGGGTTCTTGGGTTCGAGCTCCCTGGCAGGTGGTACCGTGGCACATAGGTGAGGAAATCCCGCTGTGCCTCTTAGCCCATACACGAGGGATGGGAGGAGAAGCCATCCTTTAAAGGATCAGTGCATGCAGAGCACGCCGAAACCCTGTTTTTTTACCTAGGGCATCACTTGGAACACTACTTTACCACAGCGTCCAAATTTTACTAACACTGCTTGGTTTTGAAAGGCAGGATTTAAATAAGGGATGCTGAGCTGCAGGAAGTGCATAACTGGGGTTTTTCTTCCTTTGAAACACCAAGGATGCTCTGGGACTTGCTCCTGGACAAGCTGCCACTGCGTGGCACCCACTTGTTGCTTTAGTAGATGAAACCCGTGTCTTTCTGCAAGCTATAGAAACATGCTAACTCAGTGTAACGTAGTCATATGGCTTTAGCCTGTCATTCCACCAGGAAACTGTGAATAAATTGTACTTCCTTCCTCTTTTCTTTGTTTTGGAGTGAGGTAGTGCTCAGGGATGTGTTGAGCTAGCCTGAGACTGTTCTCCATTTCCATCTGTGTTTTTGTCACCAGGATCTGTCTGCCTGTATTCTGCTCCAGAAGCAGAATTTCCAGGAGGCATGGAAAAAAAAAAAATCTTATCTTGAGGAGGGTTATGAGTATTTCTTTAGGCAAATACAGAGGTTTGTGTATGAAAAAAGCTCTTGCTCCCACATGGTGGCCAACAGGGTATAATAGGCTCAGTGTTTTAAACGTGGCTGTGCTGCTTCAGGAGGTACAGCTGAGGGTTGGGTTTTTAATTAGATGGCTCTGAAAATGAGGCTCCTCTCCCTCCCACCCTCCCCAGCTCTTAACAGCTGTATTGGATTATAGGCACAACAGGTGTAAAAGTATGATAACAGACTCTTAATTGTTTATATAGAAGCAGAGGATTAGTTCCCCCCCCATCTGTAGATGTGCAGTATTTTGTTTTTTCCTGCAGAGTTTAGGGGATGGTCTGTGAGGCAGGGAATAAGCAGGCTGGGTTGCTGGGGGAGCATAATTGTCCTGCTTCCCTGAGAACAGAATGGAAGCAAAACCACACCTCGAGAAACTGGTTCCTGGCTTCTACTAAGAGGTTTTAAATACCAGTTAGGCAACTTGCCTGGGGAGCTGGAAAGCTTTAAGAGCTT